GCCCGCGTTCAGATGACCAAAAACCAAACTCTTAGGTTGTACATATTAGTATACTCTTACATTGCAGTTGTTGTATTTTTTCTTAGAAATGAGATATTTTCCCGCGGTAAAAAGTATCCTATATGTTGACCCGGATAACCAGCTATCACGATACCAAATTTCAGCAAAATCCCTCTAGTGGTTTTTCTGTGATACGGTAACAGACAGACAGACAGACAAAAATTAAAAAAACTATAGATTCAGCCTCTGTATCGATAATAATGTTTATTTCAATAAGATTTTCCAAAAAATATTTAATCTACAGATTCGGCTTAGTTACAATTTTATTATATGTATAGATAATAAGTAGGAAGTGTATAAAAAAATATTAAAATTCAATATGTTACAATTCAAAATACACCATTTAAATAAAAATGTATTGAATCAACAATTTAGACAATGAATGTTATAGTAATAGTGCTTCATTAATATTAACGGTTTTGAAAAGTATACCTTTTACCAAACAAAGTTTTATACTATACAAAAAAAAAAACAAAAAAAAATTTAATCAAATCCATTGTATCGTTCTAACATGCGATATATAAAGGGAAACAAATAATCTTTCATTCTTCTACCCCAAATATAATCCAAATGGTTCATCTGTGAACGGGGGTTTACAAGGTAGTAGACCACGTTAGGTAACTGCTTTCTTAATATAGCCACATCCTCTAAAGATGATAAGAAGTCGTTTTCACCAGCAAGTAAAGCGATGGGCATGGTGACCTTTCCTAGATCATAAATTGGCGGGTTCGTCGAGTTGTAAACAGCCTGGTTCATCTGCGTTCCATAATCATATCTAGCAAAATTTTTATTTCTTCCCACTTGTAAGAAATGAAGAAAGTCCTTCGCAGAAGCACCTGCTGGATAATGCTCAATAAATGTAGGAACAAAACTCTCCTCCAACTCCTCAGGATCGTAGCCAACTATAGGGAAAATTATACCTAGTACACATATAGTGTAACCAATGTCTCCAGTAGGGCAGACTCTTCTTAAAATTTTATTGATAACACTACTGTTGTAACCTAAGACCTCAGTTATTTTAAGCTCATTAACAATCGCTTCAATTAAAGGTGAAATAGGTATGAGCGGTGATACAATAATACTATGATGTAAATAGGATATGGGTGCGAGGGCGATCATCACATTTATCTTAGAATTATACTCTCTTCTAGTAGAACCAAGAACATAAAACATAGTATTTCCTTGAGAATGACCAATTGCAGTCACGCTCGGGGCTCCTGTTTCATTTAATATTGTATCAATTATAGCTGGAAGATCGTAATATCCCATTTCATGAAAGCTGAAATCCCAATAACTGTCATTTCTATCAGGATTTAAATAGACGTGTTCACGAGAGTATCTGTTTCCTCTCGAGTTGCCAAACCAGACGTCGTAGCCGTCTCTTGCTAAAGTGATCCCAAGAGATGTTTCTCCTCGCAGTATATAGTCATCTGAAGTACCAAGAATGCCATGCATTAGCAATACCGGGTATCGGCTTTTTCCAGTAAGGCGATGAAGTGTTAATATGTGGCTGTCTTCTGTAATCACTTTGTATTCAATAGGCGGATATCCATGTTTAGTAGCGAGGCCAGTAAAATTTTGTTTTGCGCCTTCTGGAAGTGTTTGGACCAATGCTGATATAAGTTCATATTTTAAAACAAGAATAACAAATGCCTTTACCCCACACAGCATTCTATGTGACAATGTAGCCAAACTCAAGAATTTTGAAAGATGTTATTGATGTAATTGTCTTATATACTATTATGTTAATAACAATTGATAATTTATTATTGATTCCCGTATCGAATTTGCACCTGGTAAAATTTATAATACGAATTACATAAATTTTGCTTTTTCTACAGCGAACAAAGAGTAAAAAGTAAACAGACATTTTGCACCTAGACTTATGCCCGATTTCACCAACAACCCATAAGCTACCACCTACGTATGGGATCCCTAGCTTAAAAGTCCCCTAAACTAGCCCCTAAATTAAATTTCGTTTTGCGATCGTCTTTAAGCCCATATTTCGAGCACCTAAATTTAGGGGGCCTTTTAATATTTAGGTGACCCCTAACTGTCGGTGAAACAGAAACTGTCCCCTAACAGCCCCCTAACCATGCTTAGAGGGTCCCTTGAACTTAGGTGACGTTGGTGAAATCGGCCATAAAATTAAGTAAGATATCTCGTAAACGTTAATGCCTATTAAATATGTGCATATGCATAATGTTGCCTATGTACATACTGCACGGATTTATTCATAAGTTGATGTAAATAATAATTAATTATAATTTAAAAATAAGTAGGTTACAGTAATCGTGGTAAAGAGAATAATAATAATAAGCCCACAGGACAGTTTGTAGCGAGCTGTTTGTGAGTGGCGACATCACGGACCTGGGACCTCCAGGGGACACAACACCTATCCTTAGCCTCTGGCTTGCCTTCATTGACCATCCATAATGGAGTGCAAGAGCTAAGTGGTCGAAATGGTGGAAGTGTACAATCTGCGTAATAACGGAGAAACCCGCTCACGAGCACTCTCTTGATGAAACTTGATATCTGTCAATCATTAAAATGAATTATTATATGATTATTAAACACAGGCCAGTCACAAAAACGTCGTGTTGAAAACATTCTTTGAATTTAAAAATGCCTATTTCATATGATAATTTATAAAATCTTTATACAAATGCTCATGGGTTTCCCCGTTATTTTACAGAATGAGCACTTCTACCCTTTCAAGGATTTGGCTCTTGCGCGTCACTCTGGGCGGCCAGTGAAGGAAAGCCTCTGGGCTAAAGAGTTAATAGTTGTACAGCTTTTTAATCCGTTCTCTAAATTTAATAATCCGTTCACAATCCTTTCTCTAAATTTAACCGTTTTAACATACAATCTTTGTGCAGCCGAAGTCTTGAAACTTTAAATATTTACCCAAGTGTTTCCAATTGCAAAGTTCTGCACTGGACCCAATTCTTTGTATTCTATTGTGAACAATCGTCAGACGAAATAAATGGCAAGTATTGTTTGTGCATAAGCTAATATTTTAATTGTAATGATACCTATTCACTGAATCGCCGTCCACTATCATTTACGGGAAAAAATCTGTCTTAGCGCGGATTGGACCTTTCAATGAAATTTCAGTTCGGTTTGCATCAGTAATTTATTGATGGTCATAAACCTGGGTAATTTTAAGTATTGAGTATAAGATATTCAATTCCGCCACTCATGGATGTAGACATAGATTTAGATACGTATTTCTGGCTGGATAGTGTTGACGACGGCGGCGGTGGAGTAACAATGATGTTGTTTACTTACTATTATCATCGCTAGGTAGCAACGGCATCCCGGATGATGTCGAAAAAAATATTTCAGCTACTTTAGGCTTAGAATGCAAAAACATGTCATTTTCATGACATGTCACTTTTAGTCACTGAAAGGTCTTAAGGACTTAGAAACTTCTTGACCATCACCTTTTATATATTTATATAGAGACCCATACAGATTTTCTTCTACCTGCTTTCTCTTGATGGCTTGATGCCTTTTTGAACTACAAAACTCAATTTTTCTACTGGCATCACAATCGCGCGAAATTATTTAGAAAATATTTTTTGCACATAAAATTAATAAAAAAAATACAAGCAGTTGTACGCAGTCTTTTTACTAATTCATTCTTTACTATAATTACAATAATAACGTAAAATTTAAAATTATTGGCTTATTGACTTAAACGCTACATGCTTTACTGGCGCGATGTGGGTTTTGTAATGTCTGGCGTAAGGCAGGAGATTTTGATACACTTGGGTTGTTATGCGAAGGCGCGAGGCCCCTACAAGAACGAGGCCCCGGGCGGTTGCCCTGCTTGCCACCCCCTAAGGCCGTCACTGCCTAGAAGCCATTGAACTTAAGAATTAAATTGAATTTGTTAGTCTGGATGGATTATCAATTTGCAATTTTACTATCAAATTAAACACGCGAAATAATCCGAAAAGATAGATTTATTTTACTGACCCTAGTGTTCAACAAAATGAATTGAAAGTTCTGCTTATAACATTTTTTCAAAAATAATCACTACTTCATTGATTGGGATAGCTAAAAAATAACATTTCAATAATTACAATATTCCCTACTTAAATATGTATATTCTATTACTTAATTTAAGTCTTAAATAGTCCACAGAATTTTTAAATGTGACTAAATCAGATGGTAAATTGACCTGAATATTATTTTATTGAGCGTAGAGGTAAGGAGGAGTCACTGTGTATGAAAAAGTGTCCGTCAAAACGCGTCCAATAAGGGTGGCGCTGCGATAGCGTAGGATACATATTAAAGGAGGCGCCAAAAATAATTAGAGTGAGATAGAGAAATAAACGAGGACATATATGCTTACTAAATTATTTTAGACTACGTTAATGGTTGAGGTTTTGTATACTGGTATATCATGAACTACTTTAGTCGCGAAAAATATGATAATTTTTGAACTCTGCACACTTCACTCCGTCTACAACAGCTAAATTCATATCGTCATTTTTCATACGCCACCGCCATCTATTTTCAGCATACAGTTAGACACTTTTTCAACTTATCTCCCATATCTTCCTCCTTCTTACCTCTTCCCTTCAATCTCCATATATAATTAGTATCAAAACGTCAAGTAGAAAAATAGACAACAAATTATTAACATTTTAGTTATTTTCAGCCTAATATATAAACCACTTTTAAAGCGGACTATTCACGTCTGCTACTGCTAATTCACCCTGTACAGATTAAACCAGTCAGGTTTGTGTCAAAATTTTGTTATAACTTGTTTTTCGTTTATCTTCCCATTAGTGTTGAACGCGACTACTTCCTTTTCCCTCAAAGCACTGTGTCGAATGCCGTATAAGAAATATATTGCGTATCCTGAAAATAAAAAGCAATGTTAAATGTATTATGATGATGATGTACTCATGTATATCATATTATTACCAATAGCCTAGCCATATGATGAAGCGCACCCAGGTCTGGTAGTGGAGTTGCACCATCAGGTACACGTTCAGGCATACGCTCAGGAATGGCACTAGCGGCACTAATGGCACCTGTGCGCAAATATTTAATTTTAAAATCTAAACTGTACACTTCATGGATATATTGAGAAAATCTTGGCAGTATACGAGTAGGTCATATTGATAAGATATACTCAATAATCATTATTCAGATAATTATAAAAATAAATTGTAGAGTTGTATTTTAAAATTAAGTAAAATCCTCAGAAGAATATTCTATAGAAACTATAAACTTATAGCACATGGTTAGTTCTTTGAAGCGCTTCAATTATTTATTATAATTATTTAGTTTACATCGTTTTAATGAATACATAATTTCCGCAAGTAACACAGTAATTGAAAACATCATAACAGATGGAAGACCTGCTATTTGCTTAACTTATAACTATTTCTCACCTTAAAGCTGAGGTTAGCAACACTGCCTCTCGGCTGTCGGTACAACACTAGCAGAATCACCAGAAGAGCCCCGCCCATGATGCCCACGCTCACGCCCAGCGACGAGCTCTCGCTTTCCCACCGCAGTAGAGAGCAGGTGATCAGTGCTGCTACGACTGGAAATTATGTGTTTGTATATGAGAACTAGTGACCTAACCTCGCTTTACATGGGTTCGTTCCTAGATACCAGTTGACTATATGTTACTCCAGGTTAGTATACTTGTCCCCAACGTGAGTCCACCTTGTCGTGGTGGGGGGGCTCAGTAGTGCCCGGCAATACAGCTGGACGCGAAGCCAAGAAACGCACAGGGAGGTGGCCCTCTTTGGAGGGCGGTGTACCATGCGGGTTGCTCCTGGTACTTCTCTGATAGCAGAGTGGACCTTGGAGCAACCCCGTGGTTGTTGTGGTCTGCTTCGGCAGACCTGCCGTCTGGGCGTTGTAGTTGAATGCGTGAGCGATCCTGCGATGCCCCATTAAGACGGGGGAAGATTTTGTTGGGTTTTGATGGTTAGTACAACGTTAAAAAAAATGGTTAGTATACTTGTATAGCAAACTTTATCGAAATCTGTTCTGTCATTCCAGGGTGAAGGAGGAACGAAAAATATACTTACATATAGAAACTTTCGCACTTACAATATTAGACTGATGACTTTTCAAGGAGTTTGAAGAGCTTTTTGAAAAGAAGAAAGTGTTAACTACAAGTCCAATCAACACAGTTTTTTCAGTTGTATTTTTAATTAAGAACCGAAGATCTTTAAGTAAGTTATATCTGTATTATAGGGTATTGTGTGTTCCTAGATAGGTAAAAACTCTATTCTTCTTAAGTTTTCACTTCTTAACTTTGCCGAACGTGCTAACAAATTAATCCAACAGGGTACTTACATAGTATTGCTTTAGATCGAGCAGGTTGAAAGTCTGTTTGGCGATACTAAACACGTTCTCTGGTACTGCTTTCGCCAATGCCAAATATATTTAGCTGGTTTTCCTCCTCATATGTAAAGAATAAAATAGAGGATAAGCCAAATATTGTTTTGTGTATGACTTTTTAACCAACCTAAATTATTCGTAAATTTTGCCAAAAATAATGTTAGTTGTGGTATAATTTGATAGCAATGCTTAAAATCATAATTGCAGATTTGCTTGGCTGCCCATGCAAAATTAATTTGTAGGTATTTAAGTAAGCAATTAACATAAGATACATATACAAAGTATAAAATATAAGAAATAAAATAAAATGTAGTAAGACAAAATCATCGAGATCTCTAGTGATAAGCGTATTGCATCATACTTATTTTAGTGAATCAGTTATAAAGAATCAATCTTAACTATAAACATTAAAGAACAATGTTTAAGACAATCAATAGACTATTAGTATTAGGCTTATATAAATAATACGTACCTAAGTAGCTTATCCATTTATGATAATATGAAGCATGAGTTTCATGGTTAAAGTGATTTTGTTGAAATTTTTCGTGGTTAACTGGAAATGTATAAAAATATAGAAATTCAATATATCAGTCTCAGCTCATACTGTAGCCAGCCGGAAATATAAATTCTGATCGGAAAGAGGGGGTTATGGGCTACGCATAGGTAATCCAATGTACGGCGTTGAGCGAGCGAAAAAAGTTTTTTAATAACATTCGATTAAACAATTTATTTAAAAAAATATTTATTGTTGATTTTTTAAAAAAAACACTACCGATTTCAAATTTTCCAAATCGGTTCTGGCGTCTTCGAGTAATCGGTGAACATACATTAAAAAAAAAAGAAAAAAAAAGATTCCGATGAATTGATAACCTCCTCCTTTTTGGAAGTACTTTCGTAATTTGATTTATAGTAGAAGCCTTGAAATTAAAATGAAAAGTTAAATAAAAATCTTATCACCTTGAATAAATTACCTTGATAGATTTACCAAATATGTACTAATAAAATACATCATTAAAATAAAAATGTATTGTATTAACGATTTAGACAATAAATTTTATATGTTATACATATAACGCCGCACTTCTCAAACTTACTATACAAAAATAGTTTTAATCAAATCCATTGTATCGTTCTAACATGCGATATATAAAGGGAAACAAATAATCTTTCATTCTTCTACCCCAAATATAATCCAAATGGTTCATCTGTGAACGGGGGTTTACAAGGTAGTAGACCACGTTAGGTAACTGCTTTCTTAATATAGCCACATCCTCTAAAGATGATAAGAAGTCGTTTTTACCAGCAAGTAAAGCGATGGGCATGGTGACCTTTTCTAGATCATAAATTGGCGGGTTCGTCGAGTTGTAAACAGCCTGGTTCATCTGCGTTCCATAATCATATCTAGCAAATTTTTTATTTTTTCCCACTTGTAAGAAATGAAGAAAGTCCTTCGCAGAAGTACCTGTTGGAAAATGCTCACCAAATATAGGAACAAAACTCTCCCCCAATTCCGCAGGATCGTAGCCACTTATAGGGAACATTATACCTAATATACATACCGCGTAACCAATGACTGGAACAGGGCAGACCCGTCTTAAAATTCTGGTAATAACACTATTGTCACCTAGAAACTCATTTATTTTAAGCTCATTAACAATCGCTTCAATTACAGGTGAAATAGGTATTAATGGTGATACAATAATACTATGATGTAAATAGGATATAGGTGCGAGGGCGATCATCACATTTATCTTAGAATTATACTCTCTTCTAGTAGAACCAAGAACATAAAAAATAGTATTTCCTTGAGAATGACCAATTGCAGTCACGCTCGGGGCTCCTGTTTCATTTAATATTATATCAATTATAGCTGGAAGATCGTAATATCCCATTTCATGGAAGCTGAAGTCCCAATAAGTGTCATTTTTATCAGGATTTAAATAGACGTGTTCACGAGAGTATCTGTTTCCCCTCGAGTTCCCAAACCAGACGTCGTAGCCGTCTCTTGCTAAAGTGATCCCAAGAGAAGTTTCTTCTCGCAGTAGAAAGGTATCTGAAGAATCACTAATGCCATGCATTAGCAATACCGGGTATCGGCTTGTTCCAGGAAGGCGATAAAGTGTTAATATGTAGTGGTCTTCTGTAATCACTTTGTATTCAATAGGCGGAAGTCCATGTTTAGTAGCGAGGCCAGTAAAGTTTAATTTTGGGTCCTCTGGAAGTGTATTCAAACTCAATGCCGCTATAAGGTTATATTTTAAAACAAAAATAACAAATGCCTGAACACCACACAACATTCTACATGACAATGTAGCCAAACTTCAGAATTTTGAAAGATGTTATTTATGTAACTGAATTATTTTTATATATATTTTTATGTTTATAACAATTGTTAATTTGTTTATATACATTGAGGACTATATCGAATAGCACCTGGTAAGACGTATAATATGAATTTATCTGTACGTGTTTAGCTTTTTATACAGCGAACAAAGAATAAAAGATAAACAGAGATTTTGCACCTAGACATAGACTACTTTAATGCCTATTATATATGCATATACATAATGTTGTCAATGTCCATACAGCACATATTTAATAATAATTTAAGGAAGATAATTATTACTTATAATTTATTCCAGGGGTCACCAATTACTGTCATTTGGGTTCCGTTTTTTTATTCGTCTTACAATATCAATGAAGACATAAAACAAAAGGATAGCTGAATATTATTTTATTAATTAAATAATCAACAAAAGTAAGTACAACCAAGGTTCTTTCAAATATTAATGTTAAAAATGACATTTTTTACCTTGAACTATGCGTCCAACGTTTGTTAGATTAAAGTTGGTGCTATTGTCATTCCTGTCCAACGTGCGTTCACCTTTTCGTGGTGGCGGGGCTCAGTAGTGCCCGGCAATCCAGCCAGGCGCGACGTCGTGCGGTTTGGTCCTAGTACTTCTCTGATAGCAAAGTGGACTGTGGAGCAACCCCATGGTCAATGTGGTCTACTTTGGCAGACCTGCAATCGGTGCGTTGTGGTTGAGTGCGTAATCGACCGTGCGACACCCCATTGAGACGGGGGAGGTTTTGTTGGATTTTAGTAGGTAGTACTGGCTTTGCCGGTGAGTCCCACACGTCGTGCGTAAATACATTTCCCAACGTTAAAAAGAAAGATGTTCATCGGTAAGTCTATTTTTTTATTCCGAAATTTATCTTTATATATATAATTCTTCTGTGAGTGTGTATGTCACTGAACTTCTCTCAAACGACTGGACCGATTTTGATGAAATTTTTTGTGTGTGTTCAATGTGTGTGGGAATGGTTTAGATTCACAATTTGAATAATAATTTTCATCAAAAAAATTATTAAAAAATGTTTGAAATTTTCAAATTAAAGACGTGTAGACAGGACAACGTCTGTCGGGTCCGCTAGTTTTCAATAAAGTTCATCTTGGAAAGTCCTGCTTATATACGTTGGCTCAGAAAGTAAGAAGTTTTTTTTAGTTCTGGGTATTATTTCCACACACACATTTTATCCAAAGTTCAAGAAACTTCCGTATTTTTGTGTTTTAAAACAGTATTTTTTCGGAAATCGATAATTTCCACCTGGAGAGTAGCTTTGTTACTCCCGAAAACATTTGCAGCTTCATTGCTTCATTCACCATCAGGATGCAGAGAGTAACTTTTGCAGAGGATTTCGACGATATTCTCAATTTTCTTAAAATCTGCAAATCTGATTTCAAATACCGATGATTTCAGATTACATTGTGCATCAACTTCGACACGATGTTTCAGTGATGATTTAGCACTTAGCGTGCTGAGTGTGTGCTATCACGTGCCACTTAAAATAAATTATAATTTATACACAAAAAATATATTTTTATGAGGAGGTACTTTTTTTTAAAGTAAAGTTAGCTCCGACACTTTACTGTATCGGAATCATTACAATTGTGCCGAAAAAGATGTACTTTCGTGTGTAAATGTTAAAAAAGAAAAAAATAACAATTATATAAGTGAAAAAATAAAATTTTGCATGTCCATAATGATGACTCCGCAATTTTTGAATTTCTAAGAAATAAAAAATTTGATGATATGTGCCCAGTGCAGTGCGTAAAACAATATAAATCGGTCCATTCTGGCAAAAACTGTCTATTTTCGACTTCCGCCTTTCTTTTTTCGGGTCCATTGTAAACAATAACTCGCAAATGTATTTAAACTCGTGGTGTAGGCAAAATACTCCTAATATATCCTTAAAGATTATTATCTATGTTCATCGATTAAAAAAGTACGAGATTCACAATCAATTACAAAAAATGTCCACACTGAATAAGCGCTCATTTGAACATCTGAGCTCCCTTTTTATTATTTTTTTATGTAAACAACTTTAAGCATTGCATTTAAGGTTCAATTTACATTAAACATTTAACAACAACATTAAAACTATAATAATTGCCTAAATACGATTGATGAAATTTTTAAGAGAACTATTGCATGGGTTTGTGTATCTAGTAATTTTTTGATCGATATCTACGCCGCAGTAATCGTGCTAACGAGAATAATATTAATAAGCCCACAGGACTATTGGGGAGCTGTTGGTGAGTGGCGACATCACGAATCTGAGACCTACCGGGGGAAACAACACCTGTCCTCAGCATCTGGCTTGCCTTTATTGGCCATCCATAGTGGAGCGCAAGAGTTAAGTGCTCGAAATAGCTCGTAATGGTGACACCGGTGCACGCCTCTCGACAACCTTAACTGACCAGGCTGATGTTGCGCCCGAGGCACCATGCTGCTTTATGAGGCCCCAGATCCAATGTCGATACCGTTGAGAAGACAGGCATCCGCTAGATTCACACAACAGCCCATTTAAATTTCATTCCGTAGAAGCAATTAGTTTCCATTTGTTTCCTTTGAGAAATTCCCTATGGGTTACTCAGAGATGGATCCCGGATGATGCATCATATTAAACAAATTTAATATCTCTCTACGAAGGAAAAACGAATGTATTAGATGAAAGGTTCGAGAGTGAAAGGGTTGTATGGATGTGCAAGTTTCATCACGATGTTTTTTTTTACCTTAAGACAAGTGGTGACCATGTTGAAAATTATTTGCACATGAGAATATCAGAATTTAGAAGTGCGAGAACCAGTTTCACTCGGTTTCCCAGGAGAGCGCTTTCCACTGGGCTACTACTACTGGGTATTATTCGTCTTTTTTATCATCTTAAAAATAGTATATGTCATTTTCGATTCTTTCTGGGATATGGCATTAATTGTTAGTTATAATTAATCAAACAAATTAGAAATTTCCACTTAATTATTTATTGAATTTCAAATATCAATCACAGTTTTATCACTAAGACTAATCATAACATCACTCAACTCCCGATCACAGAATTCCTTAATTTTTTTCTATAATAGATGATATTATGCAACAGTATTTCTAATTAATATTTTAATGTCTAAATAATAAAGCTCAAAATAGAAATAGTCTTGACAAATTGTGCAACAAGCAATCATCATGATTATGAAACATTTAAAATGGACGGACACTAAACGCTACGGTAGTATAATAATATAATTTCATAAATCCATGCACATAAGATATCTGTCAATCATTAAAATATGTCAACACAAAATAAAATTACGTAAAAGAAACTAATTTAATAACCTATATATAACTTTCTAAGTTCTTATTGAAATAAATAGTCTGTGATTATGAAAATTCTGATCGTATAAAGAAGTAAAGTAAGGTGCAAATGGCGATATTAAATAATTTTGTAGGTGAATGAACTACAATATATATTTTGCAAGTATCGACCAAAAACTCGCTAAAGTGCGATAACTTAAAATCACTTATCACGATTACTTAAAATTCAGTGAATATTTAAATGTAGTAGATATTTAATTGAAATTTTAGTGTCAATTAATTATTATCATATGATTATTAAATACAGGCCCGTCACAAGGTGTGTTTTTATTCTTTGAATTAAAATTTTGTTTTTATTCCTATTTCATATGATAATCTATAAAAAAACAAATAGATATTTTTTTCGGTATACCAGAGTATAAATATCCATACAGTATACGATCGCTTATTGATTTTAACAGAAATTTGGGTAAATGTAAGGGTTGTCAAAAAAAAAACAAATTTTTACGGTCATCTCGTGAGAAGCCCATCAACCCTAAGCCCGTTTCCCCAATAGAAAAGTAAGTATGACAGTTGGTATCACCTCATTCGCGTCTCCCCCCGCACGTCGAACTTTTGCTGTTTGTTAAACTGGATCGATTAATATACTGTGGTTATACTATCAGTACAAAAAGTCAAATGATTATAATCATATTAAAGGGTATTATTATTTTTATAAATAATTCGATGATCTTAAATATCGCAAAACCTCTAGTATTCAACAAAATGAATTGAAAGTCCTGCTTAATATATTTTTTCAAAAATAATCACTAATTCATTACAATAATCCCTACTTAAATATATTCTATTGATTAATTTAAGTCTTAAATAGTCCACTGATTTTTTTTAAATGTAATTATTATAATAAATAAATTATTTCATATTTGCTTAAAATCAGATGGCAACATTAAACTCTATAATATTAATACAACACAAAGAAATTAGTGTTATTGCCTATTGGTTTCTAAACGTCAAGTAGGAAAATAGATAAAATATTATTAACATTTTAGTCATTTTCAGCCTAATATTTAAACTACATTTAAAGCGGACTATTCACGTCTGCTACTAATTCACCCTGTACAGATTAAACCAGTCAGGTTTGTGTCAAAATTTTGTTATAACTTGTTTCTCGTTTATCTTCCCATTAGTGTTGAACGCGACTACTTCCTTTTCCCTCAAAGCACTGTGACGAATGCCGTATAAGAAATATATTGCGTAACCTGAAAATAATAAGCAGTGTTAAATGTATTATGATGCTGATGTACTACTTCTGATCAATTTCGACCACAATCTCACTGATACTAGCCAACTGCGCAGGAGATGTTATAGTGTAACGTGTGTAACTGTGTACGTTCTGTCACAGCGTGTACTCTCTATTCCTATTACTCTCAAAGTCCGATGGGACGATACTTCTCTACGAGACACAAGTAAAACACCGCCAACTTCCCAACTCCGGGCTGTTACTAGCACTTTCGTAACCTACAGTACATGCTAGCCACTACATCTCGGTAGTGGCAGTGGCAGTTACATGTATTATATGATTATATTAAACGTGTACCGCTACGTTAGCATGTTTGGCTGCAGATCTGGAGGTTTTGGGTTCGAGTGCCAGGAAGGAAAAAGCTAGGACAGTTTTAGAAATTGGTTAAAGAGATTCCATGGTTTATCTTACACACTCGAATTTTCTTGAAATTTCTTACATGTTTTCTATGCATCGAATTACATCTTGTTACTATTTGGACATGTTTTTATAGGACATACTAGTATTGCCCGCGGCTCCGCCCGCGTTCAGATGACCAAAAACCAAATTCTTAAGTTTTACATATTAGTATACTCATTACAGTTACATTAAAGTTTTTGAATTTTTTCTCAGAAATTATATATTTTTGTACGGTAAAAAGTATCCTATATGTTGACCCGGATAATCAGCTATGACCATACCAAATTTCATCAAAATCCGTCCAGTCGTTTTTCTGTGATGCGGTAACAGACAGACAGACAGATAAAAATTCTAAAAACTAGAGATTCTGCCTCTGTATCGATAATAATGTCTATTTCAATAAGATTTTCCAAAAAATATTTAATGTACAGATTCGACTCAGTTATTATATGTATATATTATATATCCTTACCAATAGCTAGCCATATGATGAAGCGCACCCAGGTCTGGTAGTCGAGTTGCACCATCAGGTACACGTTCATGCATACGCTCAGGAACGGCACTAGCGGCACTAAAGGCACCTGTGCGCAAATATTTAATTTTAAAATTTAAACTATAAAATATAAACTGCACATTTCATAGAACAATTGAGAAAATCTTGGCAGGTCATATTGACAAGATACAATCAATTATCATTGATTAGATAATTATAAAAATAAATTAAAATCCTCGGAAGAATTTTCTATAGAAACTACAAATTTGTAGCAAATGTTCTCCGAAAAGCTATTTAGTTTATATCGTTTGAAAAAATACAAAATTTCCGCAAGTAACACAGTAATTAAAAACATCATAACAGACGGAAGACCCGCTATTAGCATTAATTAAAACTATTTCTCACCTTAAAGCTGAGGTTAGCAACACTGCCTCTCGGCTGTCGGTACAACACTAGCAGAATCACCAGAAGAGCCCCGCCCATGATGCCCACGCTCACGCCCAGCGACGAGCTCTCGCTGTCCCACCGCAGTAGAGAGCAGGTGATCAGTGCTGCTACGACTGGAAATTATGTGTTTGTATATGAGAACTAGTGATTTAACTTCGCTTTACATGGGTTCGTTCCCAGATACCAGTTGACTATATGTTACTCCAGGTTAGTATACTTGTCCCCCCCAACGTGCGTTCACCTTGTCGTGGTGGGGGAGCTCAGTAGTCCCCGGCAATACAGCCGGGCGCGAAGCCAAGAAACGCACAGGGAGGTGGCCCTCTTCGGAGGGCGGTGTACCATGCGGGTTGCTCCTGGTACTTCTCTGATAGCAGAGTGGACCTTGGAGCAACCCCGTGGTTGTTGTGGTCTGCTTCGGTAGACCTGCCGTCTGGGCGTTGTAGTTGAATGCGTGAATGATCCTGCGACGCCCCATTAAGACGGGGGAAGATTTTGTTGGGTGTTAGTGGTTAGTACTGGCTTTGCCGGTGAGTCCCACACCTCGTGCGTAAATGCATTTCCCAACGTTAAAAAAAAAAAAAAAAAGAAAGAAAAAAAAAAAAAAAGTTAGTATACTTGTATAGCAAACTTTTTCGATATCTGTTCTGTCATTCCAGGGTGAAGGAGGAACGAAAAATATACTTATGTATAGAAACTTTCGCATTTACAATATTAGACCGATAATTTCCAAGGAGTTTGAAGAGCTTGAAGAACTTTTTGAAAAGAAGAAAGTGTTAACTACAAGTCCTATCAACAAACCAACTTTTTTCACTGGTATCTTTAATTAAGAACCATTTGAGATAGTGTATATATATATATATATATATATATATATATATATATATATATACGTGTGCCTAGAGAGGGTAAAATAACTATTTTATTTAGAATACTATAATCTCTATTTTTTTAAGGTTTAACTTTTTAACTTTGTCGAACGTGCTAGTAAATTAATCGAACAGGTTGCTTACATAGTATACAAATGGTGCATTTGGCGATGTTAGCTGAGAGGACGGTCGGATGCTTCAGACCGAGCAGGTTGAAAGTCTGTTTGGCAATACTATACACATTCTCTGGTACTGCTTTCGTGCCATTTATATTTAGCTGGTTTTCTTCCTCGTACCTGAAAAATAAGATAAGCCAAATATTATTTTGTATTTGATTTTCTACCAACCTAAATTATTTGTAAGTTTTGCCAAAAATAATTTTAGTTGTGGGACAATTTCATAGCAATGCTAAACATCGTAATCGTAGGTTTGCTGGGTTGCACATGCAAAATTAATTTTCATATATTCACGTAAGCAATTAACATAAGATACATATGCATCGTATAAAATATAATAATAAAAAAAAACATCGAGATCTCGCATCGACATCAGGCAATTCAGCGAGATCTCTAGTGATAAACGTATTGCATCATATTTATTTTAGTAAATCGGTTATGAAGAATCGATCTTAACTATAAACATCAAAGAACAATGTTTAAGAGAAACAATAGACTATTATTATTAGGTGTATTTAAACATACATATAAATAATAGGTAAGTAGCTTTGTCTACATGATTTTCATGGTTAAACTGATTTCAATAATAAATTTTTCGGTGTTCCTTTAACCGTGAAGGTACAGATAAAAAATTAGTACGTAAAACCTTTTAGCGCGGTCGAAGTAAGACATCTTTATCTATCGCAGATACTGCAATTAAATTTAAGCAAATCAAAAGATAAATATAATAATTATTATAAAATTATTAGTAATAAATATTCATTTTTATAAATAATAATTGTTATAAAAAATAAATATAATATATATTCTTTTATTATTAATAATGTTGACTCTTACTTCCGCGACACTCATTTTCCAAAGTCTTGACTTACCCCTCAGTCACGCCTAAACAGGTTTTACTTCAAAAATTAAACAATCGTATCTAGAAACTTGACATTTAGCAAAAAGTATCTACCTGAGTATCAGCACGCTAGTCGCCACAATAGTGTACGCGAGAAGTGTCCCTATTGACATCATGTCGATCAACTGGTTCAAATTGAAAATTGCTGCCATTATTGCTGGAAACAAAGAAGTAATTCTTATGAAATTTAATTATTACACAACTAGGCAGTCACCCTCGCTCTGCTCGGTTTCGTCCCTTGGTACGTTTTGACGGTTAGTGTAGATTTCTCAGAAACGAGATAATTATATATAAGAGATAATAATATATTCATTCCCAATATCATCAAAATCTGTCCAGTGATTTTCTCGTGCGTTTCCATACATCGGCCACAGACAGACAGATAGACAAAAATTCTAAAAACTCTAGATTCGGCCTCTGTATCTGTAATAATGTCTATTTCAGTAAGATTTTTCAAAAAATATTTAATGTACATAACTATTTATCCACGTTGCGCCTGCGTAAAAAGTATGGAGATATGGAGATGAATATTTGCATTCCCGAATGTGAAAAATCAGGCGTTCGTTACATCACTACTACATATGTTTTTCCTTCGAAAGGTACATAAGGATGTACGGTAAAGGTACCATAAGGCAAGTGGTTATTGTTTAGGTAAGAATGATTTGCATATGAAAATATCAGACGTGCGAGACCCAGGTTTCAGCCCGCTAAACTTGATGTAAGCACACTCGCTTGGAAAAAGCGAGTGTGCTTACACTGCGATAGCGTCAGTGCTTCCAGTTCATTATAAGTACTCACCGGCGAATATTCCACTTAGGATCGTGGCCAGTATTGGGGTTTGGCTCTTCGCATTGATAGTCGCCAAAGGCTTGAACAGGACACCATCAGTTCCCATGGCGTATAAAACCCTGGGGAGCGGGAACATGGCACCCAATAAACTCGTGCAGAGTGCGAAAATAGCGCCTATAGTGACGATCCATTTGATGATAGGCATGCCAGCTTCCGTGAACACATGAGGGAATGGCGCGTCTGCATCCTGAAAAATACAAATATTTTATATTAGGTTAGTTATTCTTTTGAGTAGTTTTTTTTGTGGCACTATTTTTCTTTTTTTTTTTAAATTAGTGTAGATTTTTTTATTTTAAATGTTTTGGTATAGGTATACTAAACTAGTAAACCAGAAATGCTAGATTTTTATAGATTTTCTACGATATGTTTTATATATTCCATTATATATACTATAATAATTATTATAAAAATAAGTCCCCCGGCCGCGTCTTTCTGTCCTCCTGTCTGTCTGTACGCGATAAACTCGAAAACTACTGAACGGAGTTTTATACGGTTTTCAACAATAGAAAGAGTAATTCTTGAGGAAGGTTTAGGTATATAATTTATTATGCTTTTATGTAAATTAGCTGAAATACGGCGACAAATGTTGAAGAGGTCGCAAAAAATCTCGCCAAATGGGAACTTTCCACGCGAACGCCGCGTAAACTAGCAAAGATACAGTTAAGTAATGTACTAGAGAATTCAAAATCTATAAAAATGCTACAAAAAAGTCCGCGATAGCATATCTCTATCTCTTACGGTTGACTTACAATAACCACTTTTATGTTAACATTTTTAATTAAAAACATTACGTTATTTTCAAAGTTATTTTCTTTAGTTCGGTATTAATCCTTATCCAAATGAATATTTTAGTTAGCTTAGTCATTTAATGCAGATTAAAACTGCTCTTTACACTAAATCAATCAGATGAATAGTTTTTGAGATATCGTTGTTAGAAGTAATTAGTAGCGAAACATTTTTAATGCTTGGCGAGCATTGAGATGCCTACGGCGAGTCCATCCCCTCTGCCCCGCATCGCTCGACCGCCTGCTCAAGCTATATAAACCGGGCGATGTAGCGCGCGATCCTAGGATACTTTTTACCGCGGGAAAATATCTTATTTCTGAGGAAAAATACAAAAACTGCAATGTAAGAGTATACTAATATGTAACACCTAAGAATTTAGTTTTTGGTCATCTGAACGCGGGCGGAGCCGCGGGCAATGCTAGTATACTATAAAAATAAAAAGACATGTCAGAGGGACAAAAAAACACGCGGGATCTTATTAAAGGTATATCTTTTCATTGAATATGCAAACCTTATATACTCTTGTACGAAGCCGTAAATACAAATATATAGCTACATACATCATACATACATACAATGTTCATAGCAAAGAGTTAAAATAAGTAAAGAAGTTTTTTAAGCTTAAATAGAAGGAAGTTGGAATACTTATATATATATATATATATTTGACGACACGTTTGGCTCAGTTTGTAGACCCTACTTGCTGTGCCAGCGATCGCGGGTTCGAGTCCCGCTGGGGGCATTCATTTGTGTGTTGAGCACGAATGTTTGTACTCCAGTCATGGGTGTTTATATTTATAATATGTATGTATTTTAAGCTAATAAATAAATAAATATATATATATATATATATATATATATATATATATATATATATATATATATATAGTATATCAACTATCTGGTATCCATAACACAGACCTCGTAGCTTACCATGGAACTAAAGTCTGATTTTTAATTCCACGGAAATATGACAGCTATCATTCTTTGACAATTCAGATATCATAAACCTTTTCTGCTTTGTATTTTTTTTTAATATAAAATAACAAAAATATGAAACAGAATTAGATCAAGTAAACTATATGTATGATATTGTATATAGTTTTTATTTTGTGCAATCAATGCACGCTAACTATAATGTAAATTTTTAATGGTTAAATGAATAAAACAGAGTAAAACAAAATATTTTACAAACATAGGGATTTTACTAAAAAAGGCTTGCAACCTATGGATTATTGGACAGGGATTCCTGTAATAGAAAAATAATTTCCTTAATAATTATTGTAACTTCAATAATATGATAATAAAAAAAATAATTACCATTTTACAGTTATTAAAAAAAATTTAAGTCTTAGCTTTTCTAATTGAAACCTTAACTTCAAGAAAGGTTTGTTTTTTTATTTTGCTAAAACGCTTTCAGTTTTTAGTGACAATGTTTCAAAGCTGACAACACTTCTGAAATGTCAGAATTCCGTCGAATTAAAAATCAGACTATAGATGGTGCAGTGTGTTAATGTCCCAACATATTTATATTTAATATTTATATTTATTTATGTGTATATCTAATTAGTAGACTAACATCTCACGTTATGGAAAAAATACTATATTGAATTTTCAATATTTGTGATAGTATTTTTAAGTTATTATTACTTTGTGTTTAACAAAGTAACAACAACAAAAGATGCGATACAATAGCTCATAGGAAATAACTGTATTTTTCACCACACTATTACTCAAAGTAACACGCGCACGCGCACGTGTGTTTGTTTGTTCGTTACTCCTCCACGCCAGCCGAAGTGAAAACGTATAAGAAATTGATTGAATTATCTTTTCGTCATTAAATTATTATTATTTAAATTTATGTATATGGTTGTTTGGATGCATTTCTAGGTGCCAAAGTCATCCAAATCATTAGTAAGAAAAAAAATGGGTGCGTGTAACCTTTACGCGCGGTTGAAGTAAAACTTCTTTGGCTAATATCGCAATTAAATTAAAACAAATCAATAATTAAATAAGGCGTATTACAATCATATATTTATAGATTATCATATACGGAAAGAATATCTGTATAAATATTATAAATGTGAAATTTTGTGAGTATGGATGTTTGTTGACTTTTTATGCCGCAAAAATGTATGGTCCACGTGGGATAGGTTTGTTTTTGTTGTCCTAGTGGCGAACCCGAGCGAAGCGAGGGTGAGCTGCTAGTAATAGGTATTATATATTTGTCAGACAATAATAACGGTTACCATGGCGATATGGCAATGTGTTCTCTCTTTCTTTCTCGCCGGCTTAATCCTATATATTTATGTATTTGTCTTTTTTTGTGTCGCATTTTCGTTTCATGGTGTTTCAAATCACGATTCTAAAGAAGTTTCACTTCAAAAAGCATCCAAACGAAATCAAGACGTATCGTTAATTAAATTAATAAAATCCAGATTAAAAGTAATACGAATATTCACCTGTAAATAATATGGCCACATCATAGTTAAAACCGTCGCGATACTGAAGTAGGACACGAAAATGATGATTAATGACAACACTATCGATATTGGTATATCTCTTTTGGGATTTTTCGCTTCTTCCCCTGTGGTGGCGACGCAATCGAAACCCACGAAGCCAAAAAAGCACTTTGCGGCTCCAGCCATGACACCCGCCACGCCCCAAGGCATGAAGCCTCCTTCGCCAGCCTGAGAACGATATTCTTCTGGGATATCTTCAACTTTAATATGCCAGTTTGCAGGATCACCTGAAAATAAATAGAATTATATAGTGGACCATGTTTATTTGTTATTCAAAAACGACTAGATTTTAGATTTAATCTGCCTAATAGAACTAGTGGCTAGCGACTGTAGATTCATCGAACCAAGTAAAGCTTTTCTGTTAAGAAATTCTCCGTGGTAGCTCGGACTTGGGAAGTTGGTAATGCTATAACTAAAACCCTTGCCTGCAGAGCACGTAAAGCTGTCGGTTCTGTGCCTGATGACTGATCTCTCACCGCGAGTATCAAAGTATCTTCCAGTGGTCGTTGAGTGACAGGAATAGAGAGTGCACTTGTATCTGCGCGTACACTTGTGTACTATAATATTTCATGCACACATGGCTATATCTCATGTGCGTATGGCATCTCAGATTGGTCGCCGTGACCGAAATCGGTCACGAGGTCATATTTCAGCTATAGGATATTTAAAAAATTGTTTTGAATGACAATTTTCAGTCTTAATCCGAATATTTTTGTCTAAAAACTACTAACTAATGCTTACGTCAAGTATTATTTTAAACAAAAGAATAATAAATTCATCATCATCATAATAAAGATATTAAAATAAAACAATGTGTCCATTCACATTTATAGTTGTATGTATTCACAATTAAAATTATATATTCAGGTTAGATGACGACACGTTTTGGTTCAGTTTGTAGTACTTGCTGTGCCAGCGGTGGTGGGTTCGAGTCCCGCTGGGGGCATTCATTTGTGTGATGAGCACGAATGTTTTTGTACTCCAGTCATGGGTGTATATATTTATAATATGTATGTACTTAAAGTTATATATGTGTAGTGTATGAACTATCTGGTATCCATAAATGGGCCTCGGAGGTTACCATGGAATTAGATGATGCTTTTTTTTTATCGTCGGGAAATGCATTTACGCATACCACCTGATCCCCCAGGTGGTGATGTGGGGCTCACCGGCTAGAAGAGCCGGTACTACCCACTAAAACCCGACTTCCCTTCCCCCCGCCTTAATGGGACGCCGCATGATCGCTTGCTTATCTACTACGGCGCCCCGGCGGCAGGTCTGCCTAAACGCTAGGCAGACCACCAAACCAATGGGGCTGCTCCACAGTCAACTCTGCTACGCCAAAGAGGTACCCGGAGCAGCCCCATTAAACCAAACGCCGCCCACCGAAGTGGGCCACCTCCAATCGGCTGCAGAGGACAGGGAGAGCGGCAACGAAACACCGACACTCCTCTTCCCCTGCAGCCCCACCACGCCATCAAACGGTGGCGGCTCCGTCTAGGCCGCGGAAGGTAGGGAGAACGGCGCACCGAAATACCGGCACTCCTCTCTCGCCGCGTGGTGTTTGTTAATATCCCAACAAAAAAGATATTATTGATGATTACAGAATATTTATTGTAATACGCAATCTTATGTAAAGGTATACATAACCTTGTATACGCGGTTCATTACTTTTACATTGAAAATCTATACATAAATGTGGTTTAAAAAGATTTAGTTCATTCGTATAAAGTAATAATAATAAATGAAAAATATTTTGTTATTTTAATAACAACCTAACAGTGCCGAAGCATATTTTAAACCGGTGGTAAAAAATTCAAGAGGTTTTTAAAAATGCTTTGCATTTTAAGATTCTCTATGTAAGTACCTACTTTAATGTTTTAATATCATATGTGCAGATTTGTTTGTTAAAGTTTGCTTGTTTGTGTTTGTTTGTTTGTTGGTTAGAACGCGCTAATCTCAGGAACTACTAATCCAATTTGAAAAATTCTTGTTGCATTAGATAGCCCGTTTATTGAGGAAGGCTATAGGCTATATATCATCATGCTACTACCCATGGGAGCGTTATTATGATATAAAGTTGTTCATTATGATTAATAAATTGGATTAAATTATTATTAATTACATTCTGCAACAAAAAAAATTTGATCGTATAAGATACTCTCAGAATTCAACACATCCCGATCTGCCTGTGTATGAACAATTAGCAGTTATGGTATGTTCATACCTACCTCATTGGTCTAGATACTATTGAAACCTCGTAGTGTATAAGACTATAACTTTTTCACTTTCCATAACAGAAGACCTGGGTTCGATTACTGAATTGGGTAATATGCAATATAATTGTTATTCTACACGTTGTAATGACTACAAGGAAGTAATGTACCTCTTTCATGCTGTTTTATATGGTGAGAAATAAAATACTCACTCTTTATAGCACCTGCTATAACCACTATCACCACCGTCGCCAAGTTGAGTGCGGTGAAAACGTTGTTCAATTTAGTCGACTCTCTCACACCTATGCTTAGCAGGACTGAAAGAAAGAGATAGAAGGTGTTAGTGTGATTAAAAAACAAAAAAATAACAATGAAGATATAAGTGTTTAAGGTCAACAAGTTTTCACGATTTGTTTTTTTTTTTTTGGTTTTGTATAGGTACCGATATGAGCTATAATCTATACATATAATAAAATTGTATCTAAGCCGAATCTGTACATTAAATATTTTTTGGAAAATCTTATTGAAATAGACATTATTACTTTTTTAGATTAACACGAATATTTGATATTAAATTAAAAATAGACATTATTATTGATTCAGAAGCCGAAACTATAGTTTTTAGAATTTTTGTCTGTCTGTCTGTGACTGCATGCCGAAAAAAAGTACTGGAAAGATTTAAATAAAAATCGATATGATTATAGCTGGTCTATTCGGGTCTAACATAAAGTATACATTTTACTGCGGGAAAACATCATATCTTTGAGAAATCTATAGGTAATAAACTTTAAAATGTAACTAGTTATGTTAATAAATACGCCTTTCTTAAAATAATACTACTTGGGCTACCGAATTTCGCTCGGTTTTGTTCGTAAAAGATAAATATTTCTTTCTTAAAGTGTGTTTTTTGAGAAGATACAGCTATATAGAAGAAATCTTATCTGAATATAAAATTTGATCCAAATCGTTATTGCCGTTTCTGAGATACACGAAATAATATATATATACAAGAATAGTTTGTTTACTTTCTAAATAAATATTATTTTTATACTATACTTGATAATTTTAATTTTAGGCCAATAGCACGATTGTTTTAATTTAATTTTGCCTTAGTAACATACAAGTAGTTGATTTATTGTTAGGGGTTTCACCTTTTTGAGTTAAAAACGTAGAATACATACTAAATTATTAAAATGTGATATAGTATTAGTGTGAGAAAATCTTAATATCCAAGAGAATCTGTCTAGTTTTTGAGAGACATGCTCAGTCCGCCCGCACTTGGCCAGCGTGGTGGACTATTGCCTGATCCCCCTCGTAATGAAGGGATGCCCACCCCCAGCAGTGGGACGTTAAAATGGCTGAATGATATAATTACATAAAACAAATATAGTAGCTTAATTTAATATGATTTATTAACTTATTTATTAAATAATATGTATATGATGTATAATCCATACTAATATTATATATGTGAAAGTGTGTTTGTTTGTTTGTTTGTTTGTTTGTTTGTCTGTCCTTCTTTCACGTCGAAACAGAGTGACGAATTGGCGTGATTTTTTGTGTGGACATAGTTGGAGAGCTGGAGAGTGACATAGGCTATTTTTTACCGTGGAAGATTATCTCATTCCCACTGGAAAACACGTTATAATACAATTTAAAATAAATGTATGATCAGAATTTCTTGAAAAATGGTATTAATGCTCTTCAATATAATTAAATAAATACGGGTTTTAGCATTTTTAGAAATTCATCCCATAAGGGGCTAAACAGGGGATGAAAGTGTAGCAAACCTACCTTTTTAGAGTTTTTTTGTAGTTTTAACGCGAGCGAAGCCGCGTTATGCTAGTAAATATATAAAAACGTAATAAAAACAAAAAATAAATAATTATAATATAATTCAATTACCTACTGGACTGTATTCAATTAACACATATGTATGAAAGTAGCAAATGTTGTATATTACAGAATATATTATATTCTTAGAGGTATTCCTTAGTATTGGTATACTTTGTATACAGTATGTATGTAGCAAGTGTGCGCTTATTATGAAGTCATGTTTCCACGCATTACTGCAAGTACTTCTATTTCATGGTAATTTATATGCAATATTACTAGTTCATAAAACTACCAGCAACGAAACAAACAAAAGAAACAAACGAAAGCAGAACCACTGCTTTCGTAAATACACTATTAAAATTTTATTTTAAGTTGTTTTAATAGATATCTACATTTTTTTATCATAAATCAAATATGTATTTATACTAATATGTATGTATGTATGTTTTCACCCCTTTTTTTAACTTCCCACTGCTGAGCACGGGCCTCTCTTCAATACGAGAGGATCAAGCCGTTGTCCATCACATGTCTTTAGGAAACTTGCTAGATTCTCTCGGACATGCAGGTTTCCTCACGATGTTTTCCTTCACCGTTAGACAAGTGGTAATCATGTTGGAAATGATTCGCACTGTTGGCGAGACCCGGGATTTGAACTCACTTCACTCGATTTCCTAAGACAGCGCGTTACCACTGGGCTATCACTGCCAATTGAGATGTAGTAGAATATATATATATATATATATATATATATATATATATATATATATATATATATATATATATATATATATTTGTTTATTTTAACGTGCATATCTCTACAAACTAACAGCTAATAACAACACTAAAAAAATTGAATCTATTTATTGATTAATATAGGCTATGTCCCGCCATCGAACTTGAGACTGAACAGTTTATATAAATATACGAGTGGACACGCGGACTTTAGGTAGTATATAATACAAATAAATCATTTCAAGATCAACGCTTAAATAAATTATTATTTTGTTAATTATTAATACTTATTCATACTTAAATAATAAGTATTAATAATTAACAATATTTTTTTAATAATTTTCAATTTTTAACACTATTTGCTCTATATTTAATATAATAATATTTTAATGTTAATTAGTAGTAAGTAAGTAAGTATAAAAGTATTTTAAATAAAACTATCTTTACAAATTTTTTCGCGATTTTTTTTTTTTGATTTTTGGTTCCCGACGTTTCGAATGCTTTACAGCAATCATGGTCACGGGAGAGACTGAGGTGTTAGATGTCTCTAAGGTATTATATAGTTGTTACATACAGCCTACCCACAAATAACAAAATGAATTCAAAAATTAAAAAATGGCACCAAAGTGTAAAGGTACCTTACAATATTTTAACTTTTAACTTTAAACATTTTTATATAATTTTAATTAGCTTTATAATTAAATATAGAATATTATTTATTTAATTTGAGCTGTTATTATTATAATTATTACAATTTTAAAAATATTAATTATTAATCTACATTTTTAGTGTTGCCATTATAATAAAATAAAATAAAAAAATAAAAATTGGCGAAAAAATCCGAAAAGATAGTTTTATTTAAAATGTCAAGTATTCGCGTAAATGTAAGAAAGTATTAAGTATAAAAGTAATTAATAGTAAGTAAGTATTAAATAATAATATTTTTATTCACTGGTATTGAAAAAATACTCACGCGGCTCCGCCCACGTCCAGATAACCAAAAACCAAATTCTTAGGTTTTACATATTTGTATACTCTTCCAATGCAGTTTGTGTATTTTTTCTCAGAAATGAGATATTTTCCCGCGGTAAAAAGTATCCTATATGTTGACCCGGATAAACAGCTATCATCACACTAAATTTCATCGAAATCTGTCCAGTGGTTTTCTCGTGATGTGGTAACAGACAGACAGACATAGTAACAGACAGCTGGTTGCTAGTTTGCAATATTTTGCTAAAATAATAGTAGGTCATTGTAGTTTAAAAATAACTATAAAACACGTTTTTATAAGACAAAAGTCTTTTATTCAAAAGTAATTCAAGTAATTCAAAGTATTTTATTCAAAAGAATGGGACTCGTCACAACTAATCAAATGAGGTCAAACAGAAAAGTTTTTAGTTCTTAAGAATTCCACTGTCAACGTCCTGGCTCCATCCTAATCAGGTTGATGGTGTCACGATATATTGTCATCAGGATTTCACATATTTAAACGGTGTAAATTCCTTATGACACTTAGACGTAAGGCTAAAATCGAAAAAAATTAACCACTTAAATAACACATGAAGGTAATATAAGCCATTCAAAAAAGTAAGTAAGTACATAATATAAGCAATCCTGCGCATACCAGCCGCATACATACAGGTGGCTATCCACTAACAAGAAAAGCCAACACTACCCACTAAAACTCAACAGAACCATCTTAATGGGGTGTCGCAGGATCGTGTACGTACTCAACCATGACGCTCAGACTGCTGATCCATGGTGTTACTCCCACGGTCCACTCTGGTGTCAGAGAACAACCCGCATAGCACACCGCCCACCGAAGTGGGCTACCTCATTGTGTGTCTTGGCTTCACGCCCGGCTAGATTGCCGGACGCTAATAAGCATCGGAAGGGAAAACCAAAGAAATACCTAAGCGATGCGAATATATGTTAGTATAGAATAAGTTTCATATATCAATATGACGTTATCTTTCTAGGATCGACATTTTGTTTGTACTTTACATTAAACATTTCATCAGGTGAGATATGTGAAGTGGCATTAGATAATGAAATTTGAAGCCGATTAGCTTTATCGTTATTTTGTAACTAAGATTCGAATATTTAGTAAATAAATACATAGAATTACTTATGATTACTTTTAAGATAATATCGTCATGTTTATTTATAATTTTAGGTCTCTAGTTAACTCGCGAATGTGTTTGAGGATAGATAGATACTCCCGAGAACGAGATCGAGAGTACAATAGATTAAGATACAGATGGTAAGAAATCTTGCATATATATATATAAGAATATAACGAATTTTCGAAAGATGTGTACAGTCAGCTACACCTAGTGGCCAGAGTGTTGGTGGACTGCTCTCATTCATTTAAGAAAGGCCGGTGCCCAACAGTGGGACATTGATTTTTTATAACTGTGTCGCGATCTAGGTACACATAATTTGACGACACGTTTGGCTCAGTTTGTAGTGACCCTACATGCTGCGACAGCGGTCGCGGGTTCGAGTCCCGCTAGGGGCATTCATTTGTGTGATGAGCACGAATGTTTGTACTCCAGTCATGGGTGTTTATATTTATAATATGTATGTATTTAAAAGTTATATATGTATAATGTATCAACTATCTGATATCCATAACACAAGCCTCGTAGCTTACCGTGGAACTACATAGATGGTGCTGTGTGTTAATGGCCCGACAAAAAATAAATAAATAAATAAAACATCCGCGTGTCCTGTCCAAGTACATAAA